TTATTATCTGAGAATTATTTTATGCATTAAATTGAATGAGCATGGTCTGGATAGCCCACAGACATACCATAAAAATTTCTAGGACCCATAATTGGTCTCCTAAAGTGTGAACACATCTGTGTGAGTCACCTGTATCTTGCAGAGTGATGATCGCCTGAGCGTTACACCTCAGCTGCAGCATGTGCCTCAGACTTGCACTTCCCAACACCCAAAGCTCCACATCGCCTCCCTCCACGTTTGGCCCGTCAGATGACGAGCATCCGGGYAGAGAAACTTCCTTGCTTAGCCTCGAGTAGAGCACTGCGATGGTGACTGCGCACAGGAAGCGCAGACTAGCGCTTTGGTTGTTTATATGGTGCAGCAAGTGAAACGTGGTCAGGTAAGGGTCACAGCTGGATGGCGCTAACTTCTTGTGCTCATCTCCGATTGGCTGACGTGCGGTTCGGATGCCTGCAAACCCAGCCTTCAGCGTTACCCTCAGGGCGAGCTGGGCCATCACCCCCATCACCATCAGATCTGCTCCAAGTGGACACTCCCAGCGGTGATGCTCTCCCCAGGCTGCTCTCTGACAGGAAGTAGAACAGTATCTGCTGTAGCTGCACCCCTCACACGGCACGGGGCTCAGAGTCTCAGCTAAACACCGGTGACAGCACCTGTGCTCCYTTCCGAACTTCGCCTCTCCTCCTTTATTTCCTTGAACCTCCTTCATTCCTGGTATGAGAACACAGCTGTACGGCCTCTCAGTAAGGATCACCTCCCCAGCTGCTATCTTCTTCTCAGCCACCAGGTGTCGCCCTTTGTCCAAGCTGTAGCCGACACAGACTTGGGGACGAATCCCAACACCTTTACTGTTCTTCGAGGAAGATTTCTGATCATCTTTTCCTGTCATTTCACATCCAGCAAGGTGATTCAGACACTGAGTGCGACGGTCCTGTAATTTGTGGGAAAGATGAGCTGGATAGCCGCTGTTTACGGCTCTGCCAATGTCATCAAGGCATTCCTGAGGAACACAAAACACGGAATGTGAGAAGCTGTTAAATAATGACTTCAGTGAAATACTTTGTTCAAAATTTCAATCATCTTAGTACAAATATTTTCAAGGAGACGTGATTTTAAATCCTTCTTTTTCTCATTTAAATCATTCATTTGGGGGTCTATATAAAGTGAATAAACCCCTTTTGAGGTCTGCCTGAAAGCAACTCGTTTTGAGGCTGTCTCTTTAAATCCAAACAGMTGCTTCAAACCCCACCCCCTARCTGACTCCTAGAGTGGTCCATTCAAGATAATCTAATACACAACAAAATGCATTTAKCAGCTAAAAAYGTGAATTTTGCACAATARGTCCCCTTTAAGAATATTATCTACATAATTATTTTCATMCCTGTGATTAGGGAACTGTTGTCATCTCACCTGGTAGAGCTGCAGGTGTAAAAGTGCAGCAGAGCGGTTGGAATAGCACAGAGAGAGCTGATCTGAATGCTGGGGGGCAAAACATACCCCCTGAACAAGTGAAGAGAAACAGTTAGTGCATGTGAACTGAAGTGTGAGGGAGTTAATGTGTGGCTATCAGTCTAAAATTCAACATCATTCTTTGAAGTTCACCTGTGAATAGTGCAGYGCTGCTGCTTTAAAGTCCCTGGCCTTGAAGCAGGTGTTCCCCCTCTCCCTGCATCTGGCTGCTTCCTCTCTGTCCTTCTTCATCAAATGTCCTGCAGAAACTGACTGCAGATAATCCAGATCATGTTGGCTGAAACATGAACAGAAAGAAACCACATCATAAAACCCTTCGTGGGATCATTTCAGCCTTGTTTAAAAACGTTTCACAAGCAAGACATTGTGGGGGGTTTGCTCCATAAGTTAATATAGTTCAGATATGTGAGTGAATAAATGGTCAGTTTTAATGTAATCCTGAACCAAATGTTTCTAATAAACTGTTGTAAATGAGCTACTTTTTACTTACTTGGTCAGACTTGAAGCAAATTTGAAAACATCATCTACTTCAAGCAGAGAAGTGAATTTTTCTTTTAGCTCAGGATCGAGTCTGCTCCATTTCTCTGCAATGTGATTTTGCCACCGCGGACACGGAAGATCCATGATGACGA